TTTTAATTTTTTACTAAATATAAAAAAAATTAAAAACCTAATAAACTTTGACCATAAACCATTTTAACTTTTTCATATAATATTTATTAGGTTAAATGCTTAATTTGGTCCCTCAACTTTATAAAATGAACATTTTTGGTCCCTCAACAATTTTTTGCACTTTTTTGATCTCTCAACTATACGAAATGCACTCCGTTAATCTTTCTATTAATTTCGATCGTTAACTCGCTTATGTGGCATTTTTTATAATTTTTTTGATGACGTGGCAAAAACAAATTCAAAACATGTTGATGTGGATTTTTTTTTTTATACCAACTCACATTATTACTATTTATATTTAAAAAAAATAAAATAAAAACACTCACGTTCATCTTCTTCCTTTCTCTTTTTCTTTTTTTTCCTTCCTCTTCTTCCTCGATTCATTGAACCCAGTTGCTTGGTTCGACAGAACCCAAAACCCAACTACACTTTTTTTTTTTTGTTTATATGATTGTTTGTTAATAGATTATCCGAATTGCAGGTTGTTGTGAGGGATTTTTGGGCAATTATTTTTTTTTTTTTGGTTATATGATTGTTTGCCAAGAGATTATTCAAATTGCAGGGATTTTTGAGCAATTGAGCTCAGTGAATCGAGCTGGGTGGAACGTATTTGCTGGGTTTTGTTCTGTCAAACTTCAATCTTGAAAATGGAACGAGTTCTGTTCTGTCGAACTTCAATCTTAAAAATGGAAAATGGAAAAAACACGGTTTATGAAAAGAATGTAAACAGTAACAGACGGGAAAGAAGCAATTAGTGATGATGTGGGACCCATTTGGATGGATTTGTTGGGTTTTCAGCCAGGTAATTTGTGACATGGCAAAAGTTTTATACAAATCATCACATTTTTAAGTTTTGCTTTCCACATCATCAAAAAAAAAATAAAAAATGCCACCTAAGCAGGGTTAACGGCCCAAACTAACAGAAGGACTAACGGAGTGTATTTTGTATAGTTGAGGGATCAAAAAAGTGTAAAAAATTGTTGAGGGACCAAAAATATGCAACTCACTAAAGTTGAGGGACCAAATTTAGCATTTAACCTATTTATTAAACTTCCATATAATATTTTTAATTATTTTTTAAATAAAAACCTTTTTAATAAAATACGTCTCCTAACATACTACTCGCAATGTAAAGTTGATAAACCATGAATTGTGGTGTCACATCACTTTTCTGCTCTAAAAAGAGCAGGGGGAAGGAAGGGTAGGTCGACAACACCAACGAATCCCCAGCGCACGGTCAAGGCACGCCAACCCAACATGTGTTTTCTTCGGGAGAACTTGATGCTCCACTGTGTCTAATCTGTTCTGTTCATGGGTATTATGTGTAAAAACTCTTGGATTGCCTAACTAGTGTGTTGTTTGGATTAAAAACAAAATTTGCAGAGAGTTGAGGGAAAATGACAGTAGGAGAAGAAGGGGGTAGCTGGGAACTACTAACAGAAAAATAAAGAAACAAAGAAATGGTGTGTGGGTATGGTCGTGCCGAGGGCAGGTACCACGTGCAGCTCTTCCTTTAAAGGCCGTTAAAACACCAACTCTCCTCTACCTCAAACCTACCTCTTTGCTAACATATAACTACTTTAAAGATTCTGCCATTGGCCCCTGTAACACACACCACATTTTGTTCTCTTCAATCTCTGCTTCTTGATTCACAAAAAAATGCTTGATACCCATTTAGGGAATTGAAGCCAATTTTGGTCTCAACAATCAACCTTCCAAGACTGCACCTTTCTTTTCAGGTATGTCCCTTTTGGATTGAAGATTGGTCTTTTTGAAGCTGAGAAGCATAATTGTATAGTTGGGAATGAGATCATGTTTTCTGGATTGGTTTTTTTGAGACTTTGAGAAGTTTGGCTTTTGAGGGCGGGTTGTAATTGGTTCGATTGGGTTTGGTGAGGGCATAGGATTCAAAGTTTTGTGCTTTTGGTGGGTTGAATGTTTGCTCTTTTAAAAGTAGCCCCTTTTTCTTTGAGATCGATGTTTATGCGATCCTGCAACCGAGCAACTGTGCTCTTAGGCTGTGTTTGGTTGTTTAGAACTGGAACTGGAAGCTCCACTGAATTTACCATTGAATTAAGGACTGAAGTCTGATTCGTTGATACTTCCAGCACGAAACATAATCTAGAGTAGATGGATAATTTTGAATGCTCTGTAATTGTACTTACACTTCCCGTTCAATTCTGTGCAACCAAACAGAACCTTATCACAAATTGGGTAGATTCACCCTTGTTCCTCTCTGCCGGTAAATTGAGCTTTTTGTGACTATTTGAGCTTGAGACTTGCTTGATTAAGCTATTTATGTATTTATTTTTTGTCCCTGAAAGTTTTAGTTCTGAGTTAGGCCTCTCTTTCTTTAAAGTAACCTGCATAGAATTGCCAAAAAAAGGAAGAAAAAAGACTTCATTTGGATTGGATTTTAATTGCCAGTGTTTTGATTTTGTTATTTCTATGGCTGTGTAGCATGTCAGAGGCCCAAAGAAGGCCACCAATGGCTGGTGTTGTGCGTGGAAACAATGGACATGTTAATGGGGTATTGCCAGTGAGGAGTCCTGCTGCAATATCTGAAGTAGATGAGTTCTGCCGTGCCCTTGAAGGGGAGAGTCCAATCCATAGTATTTTAATTGCAAACAATGGAATGGCAGCTGTCAAGTTCATACGTAGTATTCGAACATGGGCTTATGAAACATTTGGCACAGAAAAGGCAATCTTATTGGTGGCCATGGCTACTCCAGAGGACATGAGAATTAATGCTGAGCACATTAGAATTGCTGATCAGTTTGTAGAAGTTCCAGGAGGGACAAATAACAATAACTATGCCAATGTGCAACTTATTGTGGAGGTGAGTTTATCAAATTCCTGTAACAACTTGCTTCCAAATTATACCTTTGTAGGTGAATTGCATTGCATTTTTTGAGACATTTGAAAACACTCTTATTATTGGTTGTTCTTACTAGGAGTAAAGAATTTTTTAATGCAAATAAGTTGAAAAGGTTAAAAAGTCATGGAAACTAACAGCTTAATTATGCAATTCTATCCTAAGTAGTCTAGAAGCTGTATGCTGCTGCATGGTTGTGGCTTTCTAGAGCATGGGAAAATTGATAATTGAACATGAGAAGTGATTCTTACTCTTCTAGATATTGTTTTTAACTTTGTTAGTTAATGTTTCTTGCAGTTATGTCTTGGTTTCATGCTTAAAGGTAGTTAAGTGAAACACAGACTTTTGTGCAACTCCAGATATTTTGACAAATTGTTCTGTGTGAATACTCAGATAGCGGAGATAACACATGTTGATGCGGTTTGGCCTGGTTGGGGTCACGCATCTGAGAACCCTGAGCTTCCAGATGCTCTGAATGCTAAGGGAATCATATTTCTTGGGCCTCCAGCTATATCTATGGCAGCATTGGGAGATAAAATTGGTTCATCTTTGATTGCTCAAGCTGCAGAAGTGCCAACCCTTCCATGGAGTGGTTCTCATGTAATTATCTCACTTATTTATATATTACTTGCAAGCTTTGTTTTTTTTTTTTTTTCCATTGTGTTTCATACAAAATGTGAAATTCCCATATTCCAGGTGAGAATTCCCCCAGAGAGTTGCTTAGTATCTATTCCAGATGAAGTATATAGGGAAGCATGTGTTTATACGACAGAGGAAGCAATTGCAAGTTGTCAGGTAGTTGGTTATCCTGCAATGATCAAAGCATCTTGGGGTGGTGGCGGTAAAGGCATAAGAAAGGTTTGCTTCTTTCATGGAAATACTTTGACATTTTGGCCATAAGATAGATGTAACTATCCTAGGTGATGAACTAATTATCTGTCTAAATCAGAATAGTTTTTATGTCTCTGAATTTGGTTAGAACATTTTTCAAAGGTTTTTTTTTTTTTTTTTTTGGTTAGAACATTTTTCAAAGGTTTTTTTTTTTTTTTCCCGTTTTTATTTGGCGGGCTGGTTGGTTGGTTGGTTGGTCCTTTCTTTTATCTATATATATATATTATTAGTTTAACAGAGTAAAAAAATCTAACATTAGTAGCAGCCTTAACCGAAAGAGCTGCTTTGTTTAAATTTTGGTATTTTTAGTAATAAATTCACATTTTACCAAAAAAGGAAAAAAAAGAAAAAGCAGAGTAAAAATCTATCCATGTTCTTGTTGAAATAAAATGTCTTAACAATATTATGCTAACCCATTTTCTTGTTTTTATTTTCTAGGTTCATAATGATGATGAAGTTAGAGCACTGTTCAAGCAAGTGCAGGGCGAAGTTCCCGGTTCTCCTATTTTCATAATGAAAGTTGCTTCACAGGTGACTGTCAGCTATATTTTTATCTCAACCAAATAACTGGACAATGTATCTTATTCTGACAATACATTTGACTTTTTATATTAGAGTCGGCATTTAGAAGTCCAGTTACTCTGTGATCAGCATGGAAATGTTGCAGCTTTGCATAGCCGTGATTGCAGTGTTCAAAGGCGGCACCAGAAGGTAAGTTCATGTTTTAGGTGCTACACATTTTGTATTTATGGAACTAATGGCTTCTTGGTCCACTCTCCACCACCTAAAAGAGTGACTGAGTTGATCCTCAAATTGGTTGTATCTGAGGAAAATTCTTAAGCTCTGACATGTTTTTTTGTGTGAAATAGATTATAGAGGAGGGTCCAATTACTGTTGCTCCACCAGAAACAGTTAAAAAGCTTGAACAGGCTGCTAGAAGGTTGGCTAAGAGTGTCAATTATGTTGGTGCAGCTACTGTTGAATATCTGTACAGTATGGAGACTGGCGAGTATTATTTCCTAGAACTTAATCCTCGCTTACAGGTATCTGAGTGTTTTTCAAACCCATAGCTGGGTCATGTCATAAGAATTAACTGTATTTTTCACACAGTCCTTCCATACTCTCTTTGCATTAATGTTGTACCTTTATTGCTGTTGATTTTTGTGAAGATTAGCACCTAAAATTAGACTAGGGCGTGGGAAAACAGAATGCTAGCATAGAAACAAAGTATACTAGCTGGTAGTTGGGAAAATGTATTTATCCAATAAGCTGGGCCATTTGTAATATATGTCATTTCCATGATTATGAAACCATCTGTTCAGGGCATGAGCAGACCAAAAAAGACAGGTGTTTTCTTACCTAATTTTTTTATGGAAGGCATGGCTTCCTTTTTGGGTCCTTAGTAATTGTAAATATTTTAAAATTTATTCCAACAGGTAGAGCACCCTGTCACTGAGTGGATTGCGGAAATAAATCTGCCAGCAGCCCAGGTTGCAGTTGGGATGGGCATTTCTCTCTGGAAAATTCCTGGTATGATGTTCATCATTAAGTATTTTCCAAAAATCTTTTCTCCAGGTTATCTAATGTATGTCATTCATATGGTGTGTTATCTGCTTGCGTTAATTAGAAATAAGGCGATTTTATGGAATGGAACATGGGGGAGGATATGATTCCTGGAGGAAAACATCTCGTCTTTCCACCCCTTTTGATTTTGACAAGGCAGAGTCAACAAGGCCAAAAGGTCACTGTGTAGCTGTACGTGTGACAAGTGAGGACCCAGATGATGGTTTTAAGCCTACCAGTGGAAAAGTGCAGGTTAGATTACCAAGCTTTAAAGGCAATATGCTTCAAATATCTCATTCTTGATTTTATGATGTAGCCCATTTTGACTGATATGTATCTGTGCAGGAGTTAAGTTTTAAAAGCAAGCCAAATGTGTGGGCTTACTTCTCTGTTAAGGTAAACTTTTATATTTTTTCCAGAATTATCAGTTGAGTGAACCTTAATTACAAACCTTGGTGATTGAAATAATGCTTTGCAGTCTGGAGGAGGCATTCATGAATTTTCAGATTCTCAATTTGGTAAGTGTTAGCTGTTTGGAAATTTTGCAACTATGTATCCACTAATAATAAATCCACTCAACAACATAAAAAAGTTACCATATTCTGTAGACTTTGCTGGGCATACAGCCCTTCTGATCTAGTTTATTTCACTAAAATGCCACTGCTAAACCTGTCAAATGTTGTTGTTGCAGGACATGTTTTTGCATTTGGGGAATCAAGAGCTCTAGCTATAGCCAATATGGTTCTTGGTCTTAAAGAAATTCAAATCCGGGGAGAAATTCGAACAAATGTTGATTACACAATTGACCTCTTACATGTAGGCTTCTCTCACATACTACCTTCCCTTTTTTTGTAATTATATTCTTGAAATTTATTCCTCTAGAAAAACCAACTAAAAAACTTTTTTCTATTCTACAGGCTTCAGACTACAGAGAAAATAAGATCCATACAGGTTGGTTGGACAGTAGAATTGCTATGCGAGTTAGAGCAGAAAGGCCCCCCTGGTATCTTTCAGTTGTTGGAGGGGCTCTCTATGTGAGTACTCGTATATCATCATTATTTTTCTTGGTTGTTGAATACAAATCTTACACATCTTTTCTTTACCTCAGAAAGCATCTGCAAGTAGTGCAGCTATGGTGTCAGATTATGTTGGTTATCTTGAGAAGGGACAAATCCCTCCCAAAGTAAGGTGCAAATATGTTAAGTTTGTTAATTATATTGAGTCATTTGTTTAATGTTAATTTCAGTTCTTTCTGATTGCAGCACATATCACTTGTGCATTCACAAGTGTCTTTGAATATTGAAGGTAGCAAGTACACGGTATGAATTTTCAACAGTTGTTATTATGTTACCACCATGACAGAATTTTTAAATTAAAATTTTGTTGCAATTTTGAGTGACCAGGCTGCTTTTTAATGTGTCATTAACATTTTGCTGTTGCTTCCAGATTGACATGGTCAGGGGGGGACCAGGAAGTTATAGGTTGAGAATGAATGAATCAGAGATTGAAGCAGAGATCCATACATTACGTGATGGGGGTTTATTGATGCAGGCAAGCATTTAATTTTTTTTTATTATTATTATTATTATTATCTAAAGATACTGAGATAAGTTGTATCAAATGAATTTTCTTTTGCTTGCTTTCTTGCCCATTCTGTTTCCTCCTTTTTCCTGTTTGTTGTTGGAGTAAAAGTATCTGTACTTTATTAGGTACAAGAAGCAGTAAATCATTCATCTTTGAAACTTCACTTGAGATTACTTTATCATAAATACCTCATGTCAGGTTGTGTTATATTTGTTCATAAGCACTTGAATTTGCCTTGATCTTAGCATTTGAATGTGGGAATATGGGCCAGGTTGCTACTGTAGTTACCACAATAATAGTAACAACGCAGAAAAGGAAATATTATGAGATGCTTTTATGAAATTTTGTTGCATATAACTCATGCTACATAATCAGGAGAGTTTAACATGCAATTTTATTACAGTTGGATGGCAACAGTCATGTTATATATGCAGAAGAAGAAGCAGCTGGAACTCGGCTATTGATTGATGGAAGGACTTGCTTGCTACAGGTACCTCCAGTTCCTTTCATCCAATTGTTCCGAAAATTCTTTCACCTATTTTCTCTCCTATCCACAAAAGAACTTGAATTTATATATTTTTGTCTCCTTGTCTTATTCAGAATGATCATGATCCCTCAAAGCTAGTAGCTGAGACACCATGCAAGCTGCTGAGGTTTCTGATTTCAAATGGTAGTCATATAGATGCTGACACACCTTATGCAGAGGTTGAGGTTATGAAGATGTGCATGCCTCTTCTTTCACCTGCTTCTGGAGTACTACAATTCAAAATGTCTGAAGGTCAAGCAATGCAGGTAAATCTAATTCTATCTTAGAAACAAATCTAAAAAATACATATATTGTAGTTATTGAAGCTTAGGAGCTGGTTTTTGTCTGTAGGCTGGTGAACTCATTGCAAGGCTCGATCTAGATGATCCTTCAGCCGTAAGAAAAGCTGAGCCTTTCCGTGGGAGCTTCCCAGTATTGGGACCTCCAACTGCAATATCAGGAAAAGTTCATCAGCGGTGTGCTGCAAGCTTGAACTCAGCCCGCATGATTCTTGCTGGTTACGAGCATAACATTGAAGACGTAAGTATTTTCCTATTTGTCTTTCTTGTAAATTTGATATAGTAACACAACTATAGGTTCTATTTTCCTAATTGTTAGCCATGCTTGGATGGTTTTGTCCCTGGAAGTTTTTGCAATTTAAATGCTATGTGAAAAACTGGATAAACTTACAGAATTGAAAATTTCACTTGATCCAAAGAACTTATAGGCCCTAAATTCTATTAATGCACCCAAATTTATGATGAAAGAGACTTTTATAGTTTAAATTATTTTCTTAGAAAGTCTAATTATTTGTTTCCAGCAGTTTTTTTCCTAATATAAGCTGCAAAAAAGAAATCAATTCTTTTTAATAACATTAATAACTATAAAGTCAACAATCCCAAATGCACAAAAAACTATGAAGTACAGATGAAATTTATCCCATAGAGAAAAGAAGAAAAGAAGTTAAAAAATTTCCAAGTGCTTATCATTGAGGACAAGTTTTTAGTTCATTTCTTCAAAATTGGACAAAATTTAACATGGAAAAGGCTTAGGGCTGTGGTATACATTGACATGTTCTTGATCTGAGCATCCATTTTTATTTCTTTTTACACAACTCTTAACCCTAAATTCATAGAAATAATTTGTTTGACACTTATTTTAGGTGGTGCAAAGCCTGCTCAATTGCCTTGACAGTCCTGAATTGCCTTTCCTCCAATGGCAAGAATGCTTATCAGTTCTGGCAACCAGACTTCCCAAAAATCTTAAAAATGAGGTTAACATTATTCTGCAGCTTTGATCTCTGCTTTATGGTTAGATAGTGGCTTTTAACTTGTATTTTGATCTAATTTTGTCTTGATTAATGGTGTCATATCAGTTGGAAGCAAAACATAAGGAATTTGAGGTTGTTTCAAGCTCCCAGATCATAGACTTTCCAGCCAAATTGTTAAAGGGTGTCCTAGAAGTAAGTTTGCTATCCCAAATTTCTCATTTTCAGTTCCATTTCCAGTCTCTATGCCTTCCGTTTGACCATTGTCTGCTTCTGGATGCAGTCACATCTATCCTCCTGTCCTGAGAAAGAAAGAGGAGCACAGGAAAGGCTTATTGAACCTTTAATGAGCCTTGTAAAGTCTTACGAAGGTGGAAGAGAGAGTCATGCCCGTCTTATTGTGCAGTCTCTATTTGAAGAATATTTATCTGTTGAAGAGTTATTTAGTGACACTATTCAGGTAAGATGGTACCAAATGAAGTTTTTCTTCCATACCATACTTTGATGCAATAATCTGCTCAATTTCTTCTGATTATGTACATTGCCTATGCCCATCTGATTCTGAATTGTGACATCCATCCAAAGGCAAAATTTTGGATTTTCATTTGCAAAAGGCTGGTTTCCAGTGAGCCTCCTCTTGATTTAGGGCATTAGTTTCCTTCTAGGTTTTGTTTTTAACTAAATCTTTGAAATGAGTGCCTTCTTCTATTTATAAAATACTCTTAACCTTGGTTCCTTTTATTGGATCTCTTAGAATTGAAAAATCAGGTTACTCAATTGACCACTGTCATATGTGCCAATTCCCTTTATCTCCTTATTTAGTTAGTTTATCAACTTGGATATTCCTCAGCTTTACTACCCGTATATAATTGAGACAAGCTATTTGATTTTGTGTCATCACCTCCTTCTTCTTTGTTAACACTGTCATTAAATTATATCAATATTTGGTTTGTTTGCTCCATTATTGGTCCCAGTCCCAGTCCCATGGTTTACACTGCTACAGCCTACAATGATATTATAATGTCAAAACTTAGGAATCCAAATTATCAAGAACATTGTGGACCACAAATCTGAATACTTGTTGTTTTATTGATATTCTGAGGGAGCGTTTGTAATGTTATCCATATATTTCTGTTTAGGCTGATGTGATTGAACGCCTTCGACTTCAATATAAGAAAGATCTGTTAAAGGTTGTCGACATTGTGCTTTCTCATCAGGTAATGAAGTTTTAGGATGTTTATCTGATGTAACTTTTCCTGTTTATTGTTTCTTCTGTTTTATTGTTTTTCTTTTCCTTTTGTAAATTGTTATGCACTGACAGCATCCTTGTTTATTCACTTTGCAGGGTGTCAGGAGTAAAAATAAACTAATTCTGAGACTCATGGAGCAACTTGTTTATCCTAACCCTGCTGCATATAGAGATCAACTAATCCGATTCTCCGTGTTAAATCACACAAATTATTCTGAGGCAAGTCATTGTACTTATTTACTCCGTTTGAGCATAGATAACTGATTTTAAACATTTTGCCCTATACTCTTCATTAGCATGAAGAGCACTCTATAAGTCATTTTGTAATTATCTGCCTGTTGGTTGTTGTTTATCATCATTGCCATCACCATCACCATCGTATTGCTAGTATTAAACCACTCTCAATATGTGTACAGTTGGCACTGAAGGCAAGTCAGTTGCTTGAACAAACTAAATTGAGTGAACTTCGTTCAAGCATTGCTAGAAGTCTCTCTGAATTGGAGATGTTTACTGAGGATGGTGAGACTATGGACACTCCTAAGAGGAAAAGTGCCATTAATGAAAGAATGGAGGATCTTGTAAGTGCTCCTTTAGCTGTTGAAGATGCTCTTGTAGGTCTCTTTGATCACAGTGATCATACCCTTCAACGGCGGGTTGTAGAGACTTATGTTCGGAGGCTATACCAGGTATTATGGCTCAAACTCTAATAATCTTCTGCCTGATTAAGTATGGATTGTCATTTCTGTATCTGAGCATTTTTATGTCATCAGCCCTATCTTGTAAAGGGAAGTGTCAGGATGCAGTGGCACAGATCTGGTCTTATTGCTTTGTGGGAATTCTTGGAAGAGCATATTGAGAGAAAGAATGGGTCTGACGATCAAACATCAGATAAACTATTAGTTGAGAAACACAGTGAGAAGAAATGGGGAGCCATGGTTATAATTAAATCTCTCCAATTTTTGCCTGCAACTATTAGTGCTGCAATCAGGGAAACAACTCATAACCTTCATGAGGCAATTTCGAATCAATCTACAGAACCAGATAGCTTTGGTAACATGCTGCATATTGCATTGGCGGGCATCAATAATCAAATGAGCTTACTTCAAGATAGGTATAAGGATGCTTCTGGAACCTTTATTGCTTTTAAAATCAGTAAATGGGAACTAATTGCAACTCTTTTGAAAGTTTTTTAAAATCAATAGCAAAATTTATACATTGTTCATAAGCTTGCTTCTAATTTAAATTTAAATTTTATTATCTATATTCTCTGAATTTCATTCTTATGTGGAATATGTTGCTTGTACTTCTGTAGTCTTTCCTTTTTTCCTAGTTAAAGAAATATCAGAAAATTTATCTTTTAACCGTTAGTGTGATGTAGAATTTTAGATAACAACTATGCCTCCTTTTACAAGCTTTCTCCTCTGACCATTTGCAGCGGTGATGAGGATCAGGCTCAAGAGAGAATCAATAAGTTAGCAAAAATACTGAAAGAGCAAGAATTAGGATCAAGTCTACGTTCTGCAGGAGTAGGTGTTATCAGCTGTATCATACAGAGGGATGAAGGCCGAACACCTATGAGGCACTCGTTTCACTGGTCATCAGAAAAGCTCTATTATGAGGAAGAACCTCTTTTGCGCCATTTGGAACCTCCTCTGTCCATCTACCTTGAACTGGTTAGTTATTACATTACTCACCTAGCCCATTTGTTTTACTTACAGAGAAGGAGGGGACAGGAGGAATAGAAAGTGTGATCATTTTAGACCTTGTCTGAAGTTCATTAACTTTGTTTTGATCCAGGATAAGCTTAAAGGCTATGAAAATATAAAATATACACCATCACGTGACCGTCAATGGCACTTGTACACTGTTATGGACAAGCCAGTACCCATCCAGAGGATGTTCCTCCGAACACTTGTCCGGCAGCCTACAACAAGTGAGGGGCTTACAGGACATCAGGGGCTGGATGTGGAAATAATGCGTAACCATTGGGCTTTGTCATTTACTTCAAGGAGCATCTTAAGGTCCCTAATGGGCGCAATGGAGGAACTGGAACTTAACATGCACAGTGCTACTGTGAAATCTGACCATGCCCAGATGTATCTTTGTATCTTACGCGAGCAACAAATAGATGATCTTGTGCCTTACCCCAAGTAATTATGTTTTACATTCTTATTCTTTCTTTAGAGTTGGGGATTTCGTTGGGGGTGATTGGTGAACTTATAAGTGTTCTTACATTTGAGATATTTCTACAGGAGAGTTGATCTAGAAGCAGGGCAAGAAGAAGTAGCAGTAGAGTCTATATTAGAAGAACTGGCACAGGAGATTCATGCATTTGCTGGTGTAAGAATGCATAGGTTAGGCGTCTGTGAATGGGAAGTGAAGCTCTGGATGGCTTCTTGTGGACGAGCAAATGGTGCTTGGAGGGTTATAGTAACAAATGTGACTGGTCATACCTGTACTGTACATGTAAGTATCCATGATACCATCAGGATATCGTCCTTACTTTGAAGGAGTAACTTCTTAGTTCTTCTAGGGATATCAGGGGCTAGTGATTTATCATTAACTTGCATTTATATATATCCATCTTTGGTGGGACTTAGGCTTCAAAGATAATGAAAACATAGGTTGTACAATAATCATACCATTTGATTTTAATTCAGATATACCGGGAACTTGATGATACGAGCAAACACAGAGTTGTATATCATTCAATTACTACCAAAGGTCCTCTGCATGGTATGCCCGTGAATGCCTACTATCAGCCTTTGGGAGTTCTTGATCGGAAACGTCTATTGGCTAGGAAAAACAATACCACTTACTGCTATGATTTTCCATTGGTAAGCACAGCTTTACTATATAGAATCTCAACATCATCGTCTTTTTCATAAACTCATCTTTATGCTCACTTGTGGACAAAATTGGAAGTTCAATATCTGAGAATGGTGTTGTTTCAGGCATTTGAGACGGCCTTGCAGCGGTCATGGGCATCTGAATTGCAGGGTTCTAGAAAACCCAAGGATAAATTTCTTCTCAAGGTTACAGAACTCATCTTTGCTGACCAAAAAGGTGATTGGGGTACTCCTCTTGTTCCTGTGGATCGCACACTAGGGCTCAATGATGTTGGCATGGTAGCCTGGTGTATGGAAATGTCTACTCCTGAGTTTCCCTCTGGAAGGACAATTTTGATAGTTGCAAATGATGTGACTTTCAAAGCTGGGTCTTTTGGCCCCAGAGAGGATGCATTCTTTCTTGCAGTAACTGACCTTGCTTGCAGTAAGAAATTGCCTTTAATTTATTTGGCTGCAAACTCTGGAGCCCGCATTGGCGTAGCTGAGGAAGTCAAAGCCTGCTTTAAAGTTGGTTGGTCTGATGAATCCTCTCCTGAATGTGGTTTTCAGTATGTTTATTTAACTCCTGAGGATTATGCTAGGATTGGATCATCTGTGATAGCACATGAGATGAAGCTGGGAAATGGTGAAAGCAGATGGGTGATTGATACCATTGTTGGGAAAGAGGATGGCTTGGGGGTTGAGAACTTAACGGGAAGTGGGGCCATTGCTGGTGCATACTCTAGGGCATACAAAGAAACCTTTACTTTGACATATGTGACTGGCAGAACTGTGGGAATTGGTGCTTATCTTGCTCGTCTTGGCATGCGGTGCATACAGAGACTTGATCAACCTATTATTTTGACCGGTTTCTCTGCACTAAACAAGCTTCTTGGCCGGGAGGTGTATAGCTCTCACATGCAACTTGGTGGACCTAAAATTATGGCAACAAATGGTGTTGTTCATCTCACAGTTTCGGATGACCTTGAAGGAGTATCAGCCATTTTGAAGTGGCTAAGCTGTATTCCTGCCTATGTAGGAGCCACACTTCCCACTTCAAATCCTTCAGATCCTCCAGAAAGACCAGTGGAGTACCTTCCTGAGAATTCATGTGATCCTCGTGCAGCTATCTGTGGTGCCTTAGATGGTAGTGGGAATTGGAAGGGGGGTATATTCGACAAGGATAGCTTTATTGAGACACTTGAAGGTTGGGCACGGACGGTTGTGACAGGAAGAGCAAAGCTTGGAGGAATACCTGTTGGAATAGTTGCCGTTGAGACACAGACAGTGATGCAAGTTATCCCTGCTGATCCAGGACAACTTGATTCCCATGAGAGGGTTGTCCCTCAAGCTGGACAAGTATGGTTTCCAGATTCTGCAACCAAGACAGCTCAAGCAATAATGGATTTCAACAGAGAAGAGCTTCCGCTATTCATTCTTGCCAACTGGCGAGGATTTTCAGGTGGGCAGAGGGACCTTTTTGAGGGTATCCTTCAGGCTGGATCAACCATAGTTGAGAACCTTAGAACATACAGACAGCCTGTTTTTGTTTACATTCCTATGATGGGTGAGCTTGTTGTTGGGGCTTGGTTTTTTTTTGCCGGCGGGTTCAGTTCCACCCTTTTTGAATTTTTTGTTGTTGGCCTTGTTAGGGGCACTTTTCTTGAGCCTGAGGGAATGATAGAGATCAAGTTTAGGACAAAGGAGCTGCTGGAGTGCATGGGTAGGCTCGACCCACAGCTCATTGATCTTAGGGCAAAACTTCAGGAAGCCAAGAGTAGCGGTGCCTATGGGAAGATTGACTCTCTGCAGCAGCAAATAAAAGCCCGCGAGAAGCAACTTTTGCCACTATACACCCAGATAGCCACTAGATTTGCTGAACTTCATGACACTTCCCTGAGGATGGCTGCAAAAGGGGTAATAAAGGAAGTTGTAGATTGGAATCGTTCTCGCTTTTTCTTCTACAAAAGATTATGTCGGAGAATTGCTGAGGGCAATATGATTAAGACTGTACAAGATGCTGCTGGTGAGCAGCTGCCACATAAATCAGCAATGGACTTGATTAAGAAGTGGTTTTTAGATTCCAACATGGCAAGGGGCCAAGAAGATGCTTGGTTGGATGATGAAGCTTTCTTTGCGTGGAAGGATGATCAAAGAAACTATGAGGAGAAGCTAAAGGAGCTGAGGGTCCAAAAGGTATTACTTCAACTATCAAATATTGGCAATTCAACATCAGACGTGCGAGCTCTACCTCAAGGTCTTGCTGCCCTTCTAAGCAAGGTAAACCATCCAAAACCCTTCAACTGATTTTACAAAATTCTTGTATGCATCTCTAGAAACCTTTGGATGATCGTTTGAATCCAACATTGCAGATGGAGCCCTCAAGCCGGTCGCAATTAGTCGAAGAACTTCGTAAAGTGATCAGTTAGTTATGAAGTTTGTATTCGAAATAACATGGACTCTCAGATTACCTGTCTTGATTATTCTTTGATTGTTCTGGAGGTTTAAACACCACAGTTGCCTACTCTTGATGAAAATTCGCTCTCCACCAGAGTTTGTCAGAGTACTCCTGGGAACACCAAATCGATCTGTTAAGTGTAAATTTTTGCTAGCCTCCAAAGTTCAATTGGAGAAGTAGATAATTTATTGTTGCATGAAGTTCATTAAGCATGAACAATTTCATAAGGTTTCCTGCAAACCTGTAGCTTCCTTTCTTGTTTTATTAATTTGTAATCGTGCTTAATAAATAAATATAAATGATTCTCGCTGGTGAATACAAAGTTGCAAATTCATAAGGCAGTTTGCTACATACTTTCTGTCCTCGCTGGTACTGTTGTAGTAGTATCTACGAAAACCAAATCCTAGGCAATGGGATCGTAAATGCCATTGTTAGTGCGATTTGCATTAGTTAACTATCTAAACTGATAATTTTTTTTTATAATATTAATTTTTTTTTTATATTTGAATAGGTTATACAAAAAAATATAAATTTTATTTCTTAAATTATTTTTCATCGATTCAAGATTTGAACTTAAAATTTTTTATTTAAAATATCAAATTTTTAACCATTGAATTATCTCATTAAAAATTTTAAATTATATGATAGATGGTGGATATGTTACGAGATAAGAGTTACTCTCAATAGTTTTAAGAGTTATTAAAGGTAATTTTCTATTTTCATGACCTCAATTACTCTTTTTTTTTAAAAAAACTTTTTTTGTTAACACATGGCTATAAAAGACACGTTATACATCAGTGATTGATCAAGCGAACTGGGAATTGAGCTTTGTCTTGAGCCCAAATCCGAAAGAGAAGAGGGGATCATAATGCGGGTCACCTACCTTCATCGGAAGCTGATCCACTCTCAAGTCCCAAAAGAGCACATCAGCCACTCCCTGCCCTTCACTTTCGGGGCAACCACGCCGCCACCAGAGCAGCGATCGATTCAAGATACCGCTCAATAACAAGGGGATGTCCGGAGACGACGATCACCACACATTTAACCAACCCACAAATGTTCTTGATCGTTTCCGGCCTGGGAGCAGGGAGGGTCAGGTTCTGGTTATCGCCCCTTGTCTCTGCATAAGGCACCTCGCCTACGACGACCATGGCGTGCGAGAAGTTATTTTTCTTGACGAAGTTTTCGTCGGGTTTTTCCTTATAGACGACTTGGGTGGTTTTATCGACGGTGGATTCAATGGCCTTGAGGATGGTGGTACCGGAAGTGAGGTTGTTACCGCCAAGTCCTTGCCACTCAATTGTCTAGCCACCACACTGGTAGCCCAAGTTGTGGGCGTGGGTTCCCGCCACAAGGGTCTTCTTTGCTTTCTTGGGGAGGGGCAGAAGAGGCTTTCCAGCGGATTTGCCATTCTTCAACAGTACAAGTGATTTCCTCACAGCTTCCCTTGCCAATTCTCTATGATCCTGAATGTAAATTAATAAATACATTGTTTCTTGAAGATTAATAAAAATTTTGGGTTACAAATTCAAAGCAGTTTAGTATTAGCTATTTCCTCTTGGGAGATAACTTTCTATATTTAATATGTTTATGTTGTCAGTCTAGTTTTATTAATACTATTTTTGAACTCTTCCCTTACAATTCAAGTTTTTTAAATGAATTGATTCTTAAGTGAACTTACCTTGCATCCAACCTTGTGAGCAAGCTTATAATTACCGAGCGGGTTCTCAAAGAGGCCCATGGTGAACTTGACACGCAAGATCCTTGTCACAGCATCATCTATACGGCTCATGGGAATGACACCCTTCTTAACCAAATTGGTGACACCATTGATGAACTCTGTGTAGTTGTAAGGAATCATGACCTGGAAAAGAAATGTAGGTTAGTCTAAAATTCCATTTGTAAGGCTTGCAACTGACCATGTCAATACCAGCCAGAATTGAAGCTTGGAGTGAATAGGTGTAGTTCTTGTGTTCAGGATATGTAATCTTGTCGATTCCTGGATAATCAAAGATGATAAAGGCCTTGAAACCGAGTTTGTGTTTGAGGTATCTGGTAAGCAAATTGTAATTAGCATGCATCTTGACGCCATTGACGCTCGAGTAGGATGCCATAATTGTGGCAACACCCTTTGCGAGGGAATCCAACTATGCAGGCATATGGATCCCAAACAGAGCCTTGGGGTTGACAATGGTGTTGTTTTCATTGATGCCCTTGACCGTGCCTCCATCA